ACTCTGCCATGGGAGGGTGGGCCTGACCCCCTGCCCCCAGCACTGTTTTCAGAGGTTCCCCGCCAGTCTTCCCAGCACCATTGGAGGACTGGCAGGGAACCTCTGAAAGTGGGGGTGGGGGATATGGGCAGATTGGGGGCTCTGACTATGAATTTGTCCCTTCGATTTGGTTTAACAGCTGCAGACGGACGTCGGAGACGTTTAACAGCTGCAGACGGAGAGGCGCTTTACAGGTTTTCAAGAAGCGTCGGTTAGAGGCATCTAAAGGCAAACTCCTGAAGCAAGATGTGACGGGCCGATCGGCTGTGAGGCAGGGTGGGAGCAGAGAAGAGCAGAAAATGGCTGCCGCCTCCCTGCTGGGTCCGGGCTGTCAGCTATTTGGCGTTCTTTTTCCGGCTTTTCAGGGGCTACCAAGGCACTGTAAGGAGCCGGGCTCAGTCTACAGTACCTGGTAAGTGACTTTATTTTAATTTTTTTTTGTTTCTGACTTTTTTTCCCCATAGGAACACATTAATTCAATTTCAATGCATTCCTATGGGAAATCGCGCTTCGCAAGACGAAATTTTCGCTAGACGGCATTAACCATGGAATGGATTAATTTTGTCTTGTGAGGCACCATTGCAAATAAATAAATATATAAATAAAGTGTTGTTTTATACATGAAAAAATATGGTATGTCTGACAATGGATCTCACCTCAGCAAGTTTAATGAAATCATTTCTCTTAAAGTCAGCTGCCCCCTCCCCTGTACCAACAAGACATATGGACTCTCAACACCAGTAGAGCAGAACTGCAACCACTAAGCAATATCACTTTGGCTTTAATCTGACCCCAATTAGCTAAACCTAGTGAGTTTACTAAATTATCATCCCAAGTTTCAGATGGAGGACTTAGGTTTTGTGTCACCTCCTCCCCCAGCTAAGCAGAAACATATCTGTTTCAAACAAAGGCCAAATGGAAAGATATGTGTATACACATGGCCTGCGCTTCTTTGGAGGACTGGGTTGTTTCACTCAATCCACAGCTGCATAAGTTCTAACCATAAAACAGCAACCAGAATTCTGACTTCTATTTAAGAGTGAGATGAAATCCATCTTGATATGTGTATGCACATGGCCTGCGCTTCTTTGGAGGACTAGGTTGTTTCACTCAATCTACAGCTGCATACGTTCTAACCATAAAACAGCAACCAGAATTCTGACTTCTATTTAAGAGTGAGATGAAATCCATCTTGCCAAGAACTTTTGGACTTTAAGTTCCTCACATTGGTACAACCTGATGAAGTGGTGTTTTAATCCATGAAAGCTCATGTACTGTGCAATGATTTTTTTTAGTGGTCTATGAAGGTACTGCCTATTTATGTGCTTAAAGTCCAAGGTATGTATTGTTCTACTATCAACTTTTCCTCCACATAACAAATCCCACAATTCAGTGGTTACTCCTATTCAAAGGTCCTATTATTTTCACATCACCGGCCAGTTCACCTTTACATCACTGGCCTTTCAAACTGGATCCAGATCCTATTTGCATTTGTGATTATCAATTGGGAAAGAAAGCACTGCACAAATGAATTTTCCTGTGCTATCAAGTGAAAAGTAAGGAGGGAAGATTACTTCCCAGGGTGTTCCATATGCATGTCTCCTTTGGCATATTCCAATCTTCACTCCATTAAATCACAGTGAGGCATATAAAATTGTACTTAATCTCTCTCACTTCAAGTATAACCTGTTCAGTTTCTCATGCTTTATGCATTTGTTTGTAGATGCTGGAGGTCATGGGTGTTGCAAATTTCTAGTTTCACTTCTGTATTCACCTGCAAATTACTGAGTTGCACCTCCACACTCTTGCCTCCTCATTCCTGTTCTTATCTCTAATACTTAGCTGAGTAGTTCACTCTAAGCCTTTGCTTTCTCTTCTAACATTTTTAAAGTTTCAACCAAAAGTATTCTTCCCAATCATCATAAAGTATACCTTATCATTAGGCTGGAATTCTTCATATCAATATTCTAATTTGTGAAACCTCTCCTCTCCGTATTCTTCCCAATCATCATAAAGTATACCTTATCATTAGGCTGGAATTCTTCATATCAGTATCCTAATTTGTGAAACCTCTCCTAAGGACACCGTATGATTAGCCAACTGTTCAGATTCAATAGTCTTTGTTTCAGTTTTTGAATTTATGACCTTTAAGAAACAGAATTGGTAAGAAAAGCAGAACCTCCCTCAATCCTTTTTGCTTTCCAATCCATAGTTTTGTACTCTGTGCAGGTCCATACAACATTTCCCTCAGCTGTATTATTTGTTTCTGCATGAAACTGCAGGAGAAAACACTAGCCATTTGGCTGATCACCTTTGATAGCATCTTCAACACATCTTCAATAGGTGCTATAAGAAGACAGCATATATTCCTCTACTGTCAATTAGGGTGGTTACATTTAAATCAAATTCAATTTTTTTAAGAATGGGTTTTTAAATGACTTAAATAAAAACATTTTTTAAAATTTAAATTGTTATTTAAATCATGATTCAAATCAATCTGATTTTTTTAAAAAAAACACTGAATTTTATCCATCCTCCTTTCAATTCACATGATCTCCTTACTGATTTCAGTATTGTGACCTAGGACTCCTCTTTTTAATAATTTCGGAATTCTGAACTAAGACTACATACTAGGAAGTTTACACTGTGAATTATTTGTGTTGGCAGACAATGAAGAACTTGTACTGCCACTTTCCATGCCAACAACTTCATTTACATCTTTTTTCACTGTTTCATGCTTATGTACTGTAATTCTCTATCACTGAAACGTAACTGGGCCGGACATCAGCAACAGTGTAGACTAATGATTTTATTTAACATATTGGCCAGAACACGTTTTCTTCTACAATGGGTATTAAAAACCTGTGCCTCCCTCCCCCATTCTTGGTTACCCTTGACAATTAGTCTTGCTGGCTAAAGCTGATAGGAATCTGAGTTCAAAACTATCTAAAGTGCCACAGATTCCCTGCTCTTGTTATATAAGCAATCGTTAATGGCATATACTGTACATTTTAGAGTAGATTTGAAGTCTGATTCCAAAAGGCATTTCTTCAAAGCACCATGATATGCCACACTGTCATAATAAAATCACAATAAAGCTAGTATAATCAACCATGAAGCATACATGAGGTATGCATTTTTATCAGATCCACTTTTCTCATAATTTGCGGAAACATACAATTAGCTGGCCTCAGGGACAAAATACTGTAAGATGTCTAATTCTAGAAGATGATAAATTTTTTCCCTCCATATTTGCAGTTTACATTCTTCAGAAATTAGCATGACTGTAACTGACATGAAGCATACAGCAGTTCAAACGAACTAACTTGATTTGTGGTCCACTACAGAGAAGACAGAACGTTTGCCTGTTCAGTACTGAAAGGAGAAGTAGAGATGCTTGTTAGAAAATGTCAATAATTTATGAAATAGTTCTGCACTGCATCAACCTACCTTCTTCATCAATCCATTTCATGGTGAAAAGCTGTTCATTATCAAAGGCACACATGTCTCGCACTTCATTACACAGTCCCTCAAAGGAGATTGAAGGCTCAAAATAGGTTATCATAATATCCCTGGAAAAAGAATTAAGTATGAAATTAGAACCTAAATCTATTTCTATAGCATTAACTTTTACTTCTTTCATCTGTTAATACAAACACATTTGATTATCTATATTGTGAGCACCACTGTCCCCACCTAGCGCAGGACACAAAACTCCTTCAGCCATGATTTCAATACCTTGTCCTGATGCATGGAACAGTGCAAATTGGCTTTTTATTTAATCAATACAGCATCACCCATGGATCCCTTCCTCTCTGTACGTCCTTTGGCATGCCGAGTTCTAGCCACCAGCACCTGCTCCTGCCCTGTGCTTTTAAATCCCCCAGTTAACTCCACTGGGATAGACACAGTCCATAGCTGGGGCATGGATAGTGGTCGAGGCAAACTGTGCTGCAAGCCAGCATTTTGCAGAGAAGGTCTGTGCAGCTGAACCCTCCTGAAGGTACAACTGATGTTGATGCATGGGTGAGGTTGATAAGGCTCTGTGCAGGTAATCTGAAGTTCCTGCCACAGCCTCTTCCATGGGGCAGATCAATCTGGACCAGTCCAAATGTCTTCTATGTATGGACAGTCAAAAATCCATTCAGTATATAGGGCTGGCTCCAACTCTTTTATTACATCTCTCAAAGTCACTTCATCATTGGATTGCATAATGCCACACACAGCGTCTTCCCTCTTAGTAGCCTCAAGCAAATTCTCACCCTCCTTGGCTGTCCCCAGCATCTCTCCTTCCTCAAGCTTTATTCCCTGTAGGCATCTGCAAAGACCTCCCCCTCACACAGGTGACTCTCATCATCAGGCTTCTTCTCCCCACTCTAGGCTGGCCAGCTGGCCTCAATACCTGTCACTGGAGGTGACCTCCTCACATATATATTCATCTATTAAGCAGTTTTTTCTTAATGTCATACTGAAAGAAGTATAAATTCTGCCCTCTAAGTCAGTTCTGGTAACTTATTTAAATTTTTAAGTGCCAGTACTGGAAAGCACACACACAGAAAAAAGAACCCAAGTTTTAAATACTAGCTTCAAATCATGGTTTTTTACAACATTGCTTAATCAACAGAAAAAGATAACAACCTCCTTAACCTCTCAATTTCCCTTCCCTTTGATTTTAAGAAGCAGTTTGATGCCTTAGCATTTTTCAGAAAGAGGGCCCTTATATATTTGGATATAAAGTGCCCTTCATCAAAACATATTCAAGACAGACAATAAACATGAAATAAAAACAATAAAAAGCAGAAGACATAACTAGAAAAACAAAATTTCTGAACATTTCCATTTTCTATTTTCTCCAGCGAAAAACTCTTCTCCCCCATTTTTTTCTGGAAACAAATGGAATTTTTCAGAAACATTACATCTCTAGAGAGAACTTAAATACCGTATTTTCCGCTCCATAAGATGCACCTCTCCGTAAAATGCACCAAATTTTTAGGAGAAGAAAACAGAAAAAACCCACCCCGCCCGCATGGGGTCAGCGGGGGTGAAATCGCCCTGGAAGCTGGTGATTTTCCCTGCGCTAGCCCCGTGGGGGGGTGGAGGGAGCGTCGCAATGGTCCAAGTGAGCCTTCCAGGCCCCTTGCAATGCTCCCCCACCTGGAAGCCGGTGATTTCGCCCACACTGGCTGCGTGGGGGCTGCATCGCAAGGGTCCTGGAAGGCTCACTCAGATCCTTGCGACGCTCCCCCCCCCCCAAGCCGCCACGGGCGACGCTCCCCCCCCCACGGGGCCAGTGGGGACAAAATCGCTGCCTTCGCTCCATAAGATGCACAGACTCCCCCCCATTTTTTGGGGGGGGGAAATGCGTCTTATGAAGCAAAAATATGGTACATGAAGTCTCAGAAGTCACGGACATATTATTTATCATTGTAAAAGAACATACAGTATTGCACACTTCTTCCCCCCAAAGCAAAAAGTGTCTTTGGAAAAACCCCAGGAAAAAAGCCTTTTTCTCCAATTTCACCATTTTCCCTCAGGCCTTCCCATCTTTATCTGTGACTGAGGGAAAGGTCCTTGAACAAGGCAGGTTCTGTCCCACTTTGTGGAGATACAGAAAAGGCTGGGTTGCTGTGGGTTTTCTGGGCATTTTGATCTCATGCCAAAATGATTAAGAAGTCAGCAGCAGTTAAACCTCCATGGGGAGAACCATACGGGAGAAAGGTGAAATAAAAATCAAATCAATCAATCAATATTCCACAGACAAAGCACTACATCAATGAATATTCTTTCTTTACCTGACCTGCAGAACGATTTCATAAGGCACCGTAAAAAGTGCCTCCCCTGCAGCTCTTAAAACAGGGCAGGATCATAAAGGGAGAGGTACTCCTTCAGGTATTGGGTCCTGAGAAATTTAGGGCATTATAGGTAAGTAGCAACAATTCAAATATGCCTGGAAGCAAACAGACAACCAGTGCAGCCACCTTAACAATATTCTAATAAAAAGGCTCTTAATATACTACAAGGCACATTCTGTTCTAATGGAAGCTTTAGGTAATTTTCAGGCCCAGCCCATTCTACAGCATTAAAGTATGAGTAAATTACGAACATGAACCACTGTGAGCAATCTGTTTCTTTCCAGAACTGTCACAGCAGAAAAATTAGAGAATCTGATTTTACTCTGGGCCTCTGTCAAACCAGACATAAGGATATATTCCTTGTTGACAGATTTTCTCAAGATCTACAAACTCTGCATTTTCAAGTTAGATTTCAATTTTTAGAGCACAAAACTGACTTGGAGGTTACATGCAACTACTGAGCTGTAGGATGCCCAACACTGCATTAAAGGTGGAAGATATGAGGTGCAAAAGGTAGTTTACATTTTCATAGTTATGGCATATCAAAAGCTCCACAAAGCAAAACTGAAAGTAATTTCTTCAGTTTTGCATTAACTAATCTATAGAAACTGACCATACAGTTTTGTTAAAATTCAGATTTAGGATTTTGGACTAATCTAATGGTTAGTCCCAAGTAGAGTACACCCAATGAATCTACTTATATAAATGATGGATGATTGATCATATTCCCATTTATTCTATACCAGGAATTCAATTGACTACTAGTATAAATTTCAGTAACAAATTGCTGCCACTTAGGAAGTCAGTGTTGTATTTCCTGTTGAGCACTAAGGCATGCAGCTGTTATGTGAAAGGAAATATAAACTCCAACTTCTTACCCAACGGCAATCCATAACTCAGATTTACACCAATGGAGTTATGCTGGCAAGTGTAAGGAATAAGATTCTGACCTGATGCATCACCAATATTCTCACCAATTCTACCTGGGACTAACAATTGAATTTAAGCTACAACAGACATGAAGTGAAAGAAAAAGAATTAAAAGAGGAGCGATGCATTAAATGAAAAACATTAATGGAAACTATTTTAAAGGATCAGAAACAGCATATAGGTAAAATATATAAAATACAGTGGTGCCTCACTTAACGGGCGCCCCGTTTAATGACGAATCCGCATAGTGATGGCTTTTTTGCTATCGCATTGCGATGTTGCCTATGGGGAAAAATCGCTTTGCGGTTTTAAAGGATCAGAAACAGCATATAGGTAAAATATATAAAATACAGTGGTGCCTCGCTTAATGGGCGCCCCGTTTAACAACGAATCCGCATAGCGATGGCTTTTTTGCGATCGCTTTTGGGATCGCATTGCGATGTTACCCCATAGCCCCATTTTCCACCAGCTGACCGGCGGAGGCTTGGGAAGGACCGCAGGGGAGCCCCCCCGCACGGTCCTCGCAAAGCCCTAGCAGGCATTTTCTCCCAGCTGAGCGGCAGGAGCTTCCGAAGCCACCGCTGCTCAGCTGGGCGAAAATGCCGGCGGTGGCTTTGGAAGGACCGCAGGGGAACCCTCCTCGCAAAGCCCTAGCCGGCGTTTTCCCCAGCTGAGCAGCGGGAGCTTCCAAAATGCCGGCGGTGGCTTCGGAAGGACCGCGGGGGAGGGTCCTCTCCCCCGCGGTCCTCCCAAAGGCCCCATTTTCGCACAGCTGATCGGCGGTTCCAAAATGGCCGCCCGCTTGTTGCCTCGCTTTAGAGGCACCGAAAATGGGCGCCCCTATGGAGGATCTTTGCATAACGGTGAGTTTTTCCCCCATAGGAACACATTAAACAGGGTTTAATGCATTCCTATGGGTTTTTTTGCCCCGTATAGTGATGAATCCAGATAGCGATGATTTATCCAGAACAGATTATTGTTGCTACGCGGGGCACCACTGTAAATTTGAGTGGATAACCAAAAAATATTAAAGAAGAGAATAAACAGAAAGTTGGTGTAACAGCACATTACTTTGTTAATAAAGGAATACGTACGGTGTTTTTGAGTGGAGAGCCAAAAAATATTAAAGAAGAGAATAAACAGTAAGTTGCTGTAACAGCACATTATTTTGTTAATAAAGGAATTGTATTAAGCCATGCTCTGTAGCATGCAAAAGAGTCCAGATTCAATTCCTGCTATTTTCATTAGGGCTAGAGAAGACAGAAATGGAGGGCCTCCTAGCTCGCTGGAAGGCAACTTCCTATGCTTTCAGCCAGCATTTTAAAAAATAATACAGAAACGAAGTTTCTCCTCTTAATGCATAAAAACTCTCATTCACCTGTCGGTACACAGAATAATGATCAAGAAAGGCAAGAAGAGTCAACCAACAGGAAAAGATCAATCAACAGAACTGATCATAACTATGTGCAGATCCTAAGGAATTACCGTTTCACTTCTGGAATCCACGAAACAACAGATGATGTTAGCCACTGTCTGGAAGGTCTTGACAGAATCAAGGAAGAAAGATAGTCCAATGGCTATTAGCCTTCATAATGAAATAGAATCTCAATTTTCAGAGTGAAAATATCTTTGACTACTAGGAACAAAAATACAGAATAGGATAGTGGGTTTCTTTTCAAAGTTCAGGAGGAACTTGGGGACACATAGGGCATCAGGGTGTCATATACAGCCTACACTTTGCCCATATCTAACCTAGATATACATCCTCACTAGGATGCAGTATTACTCTG